ATTTTTCTTAATGCCAATATCTATGAAATGCTTGTGAACTTTTGGGTTCCAAATCTATGAAATGCTTGTGAACTGTTGGGTTGCAATTCTATGAAATGCTTGTGAACTGTTAGGTCACAAATCTATGAAATTTAAAATGCTTGTGAATCGTTGGGTCATTACTGTAAAATGCTTGTGAATCGTTGGGTCATTACTGTAAAATGCTTGTGAATCGTTGGGTCATTACTGTAAAATGCTTGTGAATCGTTGGGTCATTACTGTAAAATGCTTGTGAATCGTTGGGTCGGGACTCCAAAATGATTGTGAGTCGTTGGAATGCGACTCAGTGAAATGCTTGCGAGTTGTTGGGTCGAGACTCTGAAGACCACAATGTGACAAAGCATGAATGACTGTGGTTGACATTCTTAAGGGATGAATCTTGTCAGATATAGCGGAAATTACGTAGTTGAGGAAATAGTGGGACAGTTCTATGAATAAGATATGTTGATAGACAAGTATTCATGACCCTATTTGCTTCTAATGGATCAGAACTGGAGATACGAAAAAATTACACTTTCCACTTCTCTCTTATTGCTATGAATGCAAAATTGCACATTAGCACAATCCTATGTAGATGGCGTCTATATTTTAACATGAATGAAGCTAGCTGTAATTACCTTTGTGATGGTTATCCCCTTGTGTCAAGCTATTTTTTACTGAAGTCTTTTTGAATTTATTATAATGAAGGCTATTTTTTCTAACTTCTAGGGAATTCGGAAGCTCCTTCCAATCCATATATGGTGTTTACAATTTGCCCCAAACAAATATGATCTTATTTCAAATATGTCATTGTTAAAGTGAAATAGATATGAGATGAGGGAGTGTGTTGGTCGGACATTAAGGTTGGCCGGGTACTGACCAGCGGTCATTAGATGGTATCTGTGGTGGTAGACCTGCACTGGTACCTCTACATCCCTCCATCAATCACCTGTAATTGGAGTTTAAATGTTACATTTCCATGACAAAAACATTGTATGTGCTCTTTCATAGTCATTGCAGATGTTAACAAGAGCTAATGAAATCTCCGCATTGTTAATGAAAAATGGAATATTTTCGCTGTCCATTATAGTTTGAATTTGAGACCATAAATCAGATGTTAGGGAGGTACCCAGCCCAAGGCAATTGTTGTAGGAGAAAGCATTCTTGTGCATGTTGTAAATGTCGTGACGGGAAATACTGCCGCGTGTTTGACGGCATGCGATGGAGGGGTGTGAAGGTGAGGTTCAGTTAACACTGACGGAGACATTGAATACCTGCTTGTTTGACCCCGGACTACCTGATGTCATCACTTCAACAAGCTTTGAGACACTTACACAGATTCACAACCGTATAAAGTCCTAATTTTGGACATTGGAAATTCCTATGATCACCGTCCTGCCCTAGAACCGTCCTGCCCTAGAATTAATACTTTTTTGTAGCAATGGTAAGATTAGTACCTACTGACCCATAATTTGTTTGTAAACTATGCAAAACAGATTTGCCACTCATGAGCAAACACACAACGATTAAAGTCATAATAGGTATGTTGGCCTACAAATCTCCGCAGATCACAATACTGAGGGTCGGACCAGACTCACCCATTGGGGTGAAAGGTTATACTAATTATAGAGTAATCGGGAGGGACATGCCAGGAGGGGGAAGCAGTTGGATGATTCTATTGACTTGCATGGTGGGAAGCTAATTTCGTTATTGTTGTGGGTCATACCTTGTTAGCGTCGCTGTTAGTTTGAATCCCTTTGCTTCAATCAGTCGAGAATTATCTCCCTTTGTGAGGATATTTCGTGAAGGTTAACGTCCAGCAGCTTATGTATCACGACACATTAATGCTAATGGTATTCTGAGATATTGTGGTCGTCATAAATTGTATTAATATTCTGTGGAATAATGTTCTTGACATCAATCAAGTTTCTGGAGATTTTGGACAAATAACACTGGATCAAGGAAATTCTGATGTGTAGATAACATCTCTGTAGAAAACTTCTCAAACAGAAATTAAAGGAACAGATTAATATCAGTGTTTCTGTGACAAGAAGTTTATAAGTGTTTTATAATGATAGATCACTTTCTTTGTACTTTTTTTGGCCATATTTGATGAGCTACATGGAGGTATTACCAGTCAGTTTGTTTACAGTGATCAGGGCTGTGGTGGAAGTCTTTGTCCTCAATCAGCAGGGAGCTATAAACCTGTATACTGGTCTTATGGTCAATGTTGATTATATAAACGCATAATTTGTACACAAAAACGTCTCTAGTTTTAATGATTTAGACTATTTCTTATTTCCTTATGTTGGATGAAGGAACAGATGTCTCTCCTCAGCATTGTAAATGGTATCACTAACCTTGTAAATGTTGACCGACATCGCGATATTCAAAAACAAATTGAGGGTTGAAATCATATAGCCATTAAAAACATTGGCTGTAATTCTATAATTAACAAAAGCCATTCCAAAGAAATGGATTATTTGAAGAGGATATTGAAATAAAACTGTTATATCCTTACTTTTAATTTCTGTGGGGAGAAAGCTTGTTGCATAGTGTAATAACAATAGCCATATAGTGCTGACTTTAACCTCTGTTTGACAAAAAAACCCAGACTAAATTGCATAGCTGTTCCAGGAGTGGAATTAATTGAATTTAAGCAAAAAAAAAAGATAAGAGGATTCTGGTGATTTCTAAAGTAAAAGAAGAGGATGAAATATCTGGTAACAAAAATAAAGGAATTGGGCATGTTTTCCATATTCTTTGAATTCTTTTAGTAGATCTGTTCCAGAAAAATGAAGTTTTTTTAAAAATATTTTCTCTAAATTTGATTTTAACGTATCATCACTGGTTCAGTTATCTGCAGTTGTAGTGTGTAGCAGGCCGTTGATGTATTTACGATGTATAGAACACGTTGAGGCAATACGACCTTGTCTAGGGGAGATTTACCTATCATGTATGTGTCATCATGGAAACTATAATGTACAAAAACCCGCAAGATTTACTTTCACTTAAAACTTATTTTACATGATAATTTGGAGTGTTTTTCTCTTTAAAATTCTTGATTATTGATAAACATAGATTTTGAAAGTTCTCGACTACCACTAATGTTTGTGTCTGCGTGGTTTGTATGTGATAGACATAGCATAAAACTACAGGCTACCTGGTTACTAAGTACGCCCTCATCTATTATACTCGGGGTCGCTGCACCAGTGCACATGCTAGACCTACACAGGTCCCTGCCATTGTTCAGTCTTTTCTTTATCATCTACTTGAACCCCCCCTCTATCTGAAAAGTTTGAAACAAACTTCTTGTGATGTATAAAGATGATGTTTGTCCTCGTTTCAGAGAGAGCCGAGGCTCCTGACATTTGACACACTTGTAGAACATTCTGCACATCATCTTAACCACAACTATCTGTTCTCGGTGAACTTGGTCGGGAAAGCTGATAATATTCTGCTTCCTGTCTGCTACACCATTTTTTTTAATTTTTTTTTTTGAATAAAATTTAGATACATAGGTATAAATTTATAGATTCTGCATAACTGGTGTTTTCTTCGCATGTGTGAGTTCCGTTGCTACAGACCAGATACTTATATCTAGGCTGCAGCTTTAATCCTGGAAGCACAGCAGGTTTTTCAATACTCAGCAGAGATAACTGTTCTGTCTGGAACTATATTTCTTTCTTGGATGAGTTGATCTTTTGAAGAAGCACACAACTATATCATGCTGCTATAAAATTTACACATATAATACGTCACAATATCACTTTCACTCCATAAAGTTGAAGTGGCTTCATTTGAAAGTGAAATGTTTGTAGAGTTCTATGCTATCAAATCTTGAATTCTAATATATAAGATTTGATTAGATACCTTCTGATATGTCAGTACCGGTGATATTAAAGGTACAAGTGACATTATACGCCATCGGGCTTTAAAAGTATCTCAGTAACAAGTCACTTTCTAGTGACCCAATGATACATGAAATCGTAGGAACTCGTTGTTTGAGGAGATCAGTTAGAACACCTGAGTATTACACCAGTATTACACCAGCTGATCAGTGACACACACTGTAGGCCCACTGCAGGGCACATGCAGGGTGTTACCGCTGTCGGCTCAAAGACCAAGTTGACTTTTACAGGAATTTAAGTGGACTTATGTCTCCTCTCGTTGATTGATAACTAATATTGAGGATTTGCTGGTCTTACTCTTGATGCTTCTGCATTATAAATCCTTGCATGTCCTATACATACCATACTTACTCCAATACACACCCTTGTCTGTCCTATACCTACCATATTTACTCCAATACACGCCCTAGTCTGTCCTATACCTACCATACTTACTCCAATATACACCCTAGTCTGTACTATACCTACCATGCTTACTCCAATACACACCCTAGTCTGTCCTATACCTACCATACTTACTCCAATACACATCCTGGTATGTCCTATACCTACCATACTTACTCCAATACACACCCTAGTCTGTCCTATCCTACAATACTTACTCCAATACCCACCCTAGTCTGTCCTTTACCTACCATACTTACTCCAATACACACCCTAGTCTGTCCTATCCTACAATACTTACTCCAATACACACCCTAGTCTGTCCTATACCTACCATACTTACTCAAATACACATCCTGGTCTGTCTTATACCTACCATACTTACTCCAATACACACCCTAGTCTGTCCTATCCTACAATACTTACTCCAATACACCCCCTAGTCTGTCCTATACCTACCATACTTACTCCAATATACACCCTGGTCTGTCATACCTATCATACTTACTCTAATACACACCCTGGTCTGATTCTGATTTATTTGTTTGATAAAATTGATATTTGGAAAAATAAAAATAGTTCAAAATATGCTGATCAAATGTTGTTATAGCATGTTGGAAAATTTTCAAAAGAATCAAATTTAATAAACTGTTGTACTGAAATGCTGTTTAATTTTTGTCTTTTCAGAAAATTACAAGCATACGAGGAGGAAAGATAGTGTGGATTCTATATTAAAAGACAATAAAGTGTTAAATAGTCCTAATTTGTACAGTAACAATCATCCCCATCCCTATCATCATGTACATAGACGTTCCGCTTCACTAAAAAGACATTTAGAAGTCATGGTGGCCGCCGACTACGAGATGTATCGGTACCATGGCCGGGATTTAGAAAAATATATATTAACATTAATGGCGATAGTAAGTATGTTTTATTGTTTTTTGTATTTTATGTCATTAAGTTTATTTTGTTTTGTATATTTCATACGGTTTATTCTTTTATTTATTTTTGTATGTAATTTTGGAGCCTTCTACCACCTATATTATCTCCCTTTGATTTTGTTACCTCGTTTTTAAATTTCCTGCAAAATGTTTATGTTGGAAATGCATACTGGTTGCTACTTATTAGTCAATGTCATTCACATCCTTGATTTAAAAAAAATGTTTTACCTTTCGTTCTAACAAAAATATAATTCTCCTCAACTTTTTCTTCCAAAAATTGTTTGAATTTGTGGCAGATATCATATTATAGATCGTCAGATGGTCAGCTAGAGTTTTACACATCTGTCTTGACTTATTAGAATTATCAAATCGGCGTGGCATCTGCCTTTGTTATCCTGTTCTTCCTGTAGGCCAGCGTGCTCGTGATTTAGATGAGGTTCGGTTCTATCATCCTGATTGACTCCTTCTTCATGCGTAACTCAGCGTAACTCTGGCGCGTAGGAATGAATTGGATAATAATGTCAAGTATTCCATATATTTCACTGGTTTAACTGGATGTAGTTAGCTTCAATCAAAATCTAACAGAAAATGGCAGAAGAACAATTTACATTGTAAGTAGATGTTAGAGAGGGGGAAGGGGGCTGATAAATGTCACCTTAATTTGGGGTGGTGATGGGCTACATTCGCTCCCTGTGTTCCGAGCACTGGCCCTGTGTTATCGTGTTTTGTGGAGCACTGGTTATATTACACTCAATTAAGTAATAATACTTGCACTCATGATGCTACGACACTGTATTGCTTGTGTCAGCTGAAATATAAAGGTTTTATCTAAATGGGAGGTTATGATTTAGGCATATCTTGGTGTGGATGTGCTTAGTAGTAAAAACTCCCATTTTCATATCTTGAGTGATGAGGTACCAGTGAAAACACAGGCTGATCTCATCTAGGGCATTCATCACATTTCTTTGTAAAAAAGAGAAGTTTTATACTGTTATGAACTAGATGATATCTGTAGTTTTGGTATTACTAAAGTACAAGAAATCTAGCCGAATCGTTGTTACAGTGTAGTTATTATCGGCTCTGTATGTGAGATGGTAGTACAATAAAATGATCATATTCAATGGCTGTTACACCCCGATTGTCAAATTTTACGATCGTACATATGTATATATATATTTGATACTGATATCTAATTTAAATATATTTTAAATCCTTTTTCATTGTCATATTAATCAAATACATGCAATAAATTTGTACAGATATGAAATAAAATAAAGTTTATACTAAAAATATTAGGGTGTTATCTAATAGTTGACAAACTCATTGGGGTGTTATTTGATAATTTACAAACTCATTAGGGTGTTATTTGATAACTTACAAACTCATTAGGATGTTATTTAATAACTAACAAGCTCATTAGGGTGTTATTTGATAACTTACAAACTCATTAGGGTGTAATTTAATTTAATAACTTAAAAAATTCATAAGGATGTTATTTGATAACTTACAAACTCATTAGGGTGTTATTTAATAATTCACAAACTCATTAGGGTGTTATTTAATAACTAACAAACTCATTAGGGTGTTATTTGATAACTTACAAACTCATTAGGGTGTTATTTAATTTAATAACTTAAAAAATTCATAAGGGTGTTATTTGATAACTGACAAACTCATTAGGGTGTTATTTAATAATTCACAAACTCATTAGGGTGTTATTTAATAACTCACAAACTCATAAGGGTGTTATTTGATAATTTACAAACTCATTGGGGTGTTATTTAATAATTCACAAACTCATTAGGGTGTTATTTAATAATTTACAAACCCATTAGGGTGTTATTTAATAATTCACAAACTCATTAGGGTGTTATTTGATAACTTACAAACTCATTAGGGTGTTATTTAATAATTCACAAACTCATTAGGGTGTTATTTGATAACTAACAAACTTATTAGGGTGTTATTTAATAATTCACAAACTCATTAGGGTGTTATTTAATAATTCACAAACTCATTAGGGTGTTATTTTATAACTAACAAACTCATAAGGGTGTTATTTGATAACTTACAAACTCATTAGGGTGTTATTTAATAATTCACAAACTCATTAGGGTGTTATTTAATAATTTACAAACTCATTAGGGTGTTATTTAATAACTTACAAACTCATTAGGGTGTTATTTAATAACTAACAAACTCATTAGGGTGTTATTTGATAACTTACAAACTCATTAGGGTGTTATTTAATAATTCACAAACTCATTAGGGTGTTATTTAATAACTTACAAACTCATTAGGGTGTTATTTAATAATTCACAAACTCATTAGGGTGTTATTTGATAACTTACAAACTCATTAGGGTGTTATTTAATAATTCACAAACTCATTAGGGTGTTATTTAATAATTTACAAACTCATTAGGGTGTTATTTAATAATTCACAAACTCATTAGGGTGTTATTTAATAACTAACAAACTCATTAGGGTGTTATTTGATAACTTACAAACTCATTGGGGTGTTATTTAATAATTTACAAACTCATTAGGATGTTATTTAATAACTTACAAATTTATAGGGTGTTATTTCCATCTGAAGACCCTATGGTTTGTTAATATGGTCACTGAAATGTCAGAAAGCAAAGCCAGTTAAATGGTACTATTTTCTTATTTTAAACATTCTGATTGTTGTCTTTTATCTTTCAGGTCAACAGTGTATATAAACATTCATCTATAGCAAATTTCATCAACATTGTAGTCGTGAAAATCGTTGTATTTAAAAGTGTAGAGGTGAGTAATATCTTTGCATGCTTTACTTTCTTTCTGTATAAAATAATGTGTTGCTTCATGAAATCTTATTTTGTCTGTTAGATGTCTTGTTGCTAGGTAAGATGATCTGTTGCTATGTAATGTCAGCTGGTCACGATTGTCCTCTTATAAGCCGGTACCACTATATAAATAATCAGTTATTTCCTGGTGTTTTTTTCCCTTAAGTGCGTCTTTTTCAGGCATAACCTAGCTATCATTTTTGGAGATGTTTTGCACTAATGTATCATCTATATTCAATAATATTTAGATGATATGAATAATCCGCATTTCTTGCAAAACCTTTTCAAGGAAATTGGCCACAGGATAGTGACCAGAAATGGTGTGACTCATTTAGAGTTGCTACCAACCTATATATTATAATGTGACCTATTTCAAGGTGATAATGACTTCTGAAAAAAATACAGTGACCTGTATAATAGTTGGTAATTATCTGATGGTAAGCAGCCGATGCGTCACTTGGTCAGTAATTATGTAGAACCACAAGCCTGAGACTGGCATGTTTATCATACAGTTCTGTTTTGTTTACCAGTGTCCTGAATGGTCCCATGGTCAGAGTCTAGCTGTATTAATGAGACTTTTATACAGTAAAATGGTGGGAGGATATGGTTTTAGATTTTATTTAGGAAGTTATGTTTATGAATCATAGGTTCAGTCTGTGTCAGTTGTGAGTTTTCATGCTAGATGAATTGCACCTGTATGACGTCCTATTAATATCTCTCTGGGTCAGTGCCTCATTATCGTGGCTAGAGGTTGACACGTTAATGAAACAATGACATAACGAGTCAGAAAGGTCCGGTTAGAGAGAGTCAGAAAGGTCCGGTTAGAGATAGTCAGAAAGGTCCGGTTAGAGAGAGTCAGAAAGGTCCAGTTAGAGAGAGTCAGAAAGGTCCGGTTAGAAAGAGTCAGAAAGGTCCAGTTAGAGAGAGTCAGAAAGTTCCAGTTAGAGAGAGTCAAAAAGGTCCGGTTAGAGAGAGTCAAAAAGGTCCGGTTAGAGAGAGTCAAAAAGGTCCGGTTACAGAGAGTCAGAAAGGTTGGGTTAGATAAAGATTACAGAATGGTGTAAAACTGTCCAAAAGACAGGCTGAGGGTGTCCAGTTTATCTACATGTTGTTATGTAGGGGGCACTCCTAAAAAAGGCTGAGGGTGTCCAGTTTATCTTCATGTTGTTATGTAGGGGGCACTACTAAAACAGGCTGAGGGTGTCCAGTTTATCTACATGTTGTTATGTAGGGGGCGCTCCTAAGTACATGTTGTTATGTAAGGAGCAGTTATCTAAAAGGGTGTATATTGAAATGGTGAAATAATAATTTTTACTACATAAAGAGGGTAATGTCCGGTGCCGTTCATCTCTAAGTGTACCTAGGCCCAGTATAGTAAAGTAGAGACATTATTAAGTCTGGTCAGATGAAAATAGCAGTATCTTTACTACTTATATAGGTAGATGTTAGGGATGTCCAGTAAGTAGGGAGATGTCCAGTTTATCTCCTGGTGTAGCAGCCAGACTGATTAGGACATCACCTGTGACAGGTGCCCTGCCCAGAATGACCACAACTGACCACACTTACACAGCTAAGGATTCTTCTTCCTGTCCACACTCAGTTTGTCCCTTGGACACGATATATTACAGCTGTCCTTTTCATTCATTTATTTAGTTTACATGCTTGTACATGTAGCAGGTGAGGAGAACACACACTCAGGTGGTCAGTGTCTCGTTAGCTTACCTATGTCTTGTAAGCTTACCTATGTCTCGTTAGCATACCTATGTCTCGTTAGCTTACCTTTATCTCGTTAGCTTACCTATGTCTCGTTAGCTTACCTTTGTCTCATTAGCTTACCTATGTCTTGTTAGCTTACCTATGTCTTGTTAGCTTACATATGTCACGTTAGCTTATCTATGTCTTGTTAGCTTACCTTTGTCTCGTTAGCTTACCTATGTCTTGTTTGCTTACCTATGTCTTGTTAGCTTACATATGTCTCGTTAGCTTATCAATGTCTCGTTAGCTTACTTACATCTCAGCTTACCTACATCACATTAGCTTACCTACATCTCATTAGCTTACTTATATCTGATAGCTTACCTATATCTTATAGTTTACTTACATCTGATAGCTTACCTACATCTTATAGTTTACCTACATCTGATAGCTTACCTACATCTTATAGTTTACCTACATATGATATCTTACCTACATCTTATAGTTAACTTACATTTGATAGCTTACCTACAACCTATAGTTAACTTACATCTGATAGCTTACTTACATCTGATAGCTTACTTACATCTGATAGCTTATTTACATCTGATAGCTTACTTGCATCTGATAGCTTACCAACATCTTTTAGTTTACTTACATCTGATAGCTTACCAACATCTTATAGTTTACCTACATCTTATAGTTAACCTACATCCTTAGGTTAACTAGTTCAAATGTCTTTCCATAACTTGATGAAATTAAGGTCACATAAAATTGAAAACATTTGATAGACCATCCTCATTAGATGACAAATCTAAAAAACAAAATGTTAACTTATAAAAGAAGATTGTTATAAACATGAGATAAACTGACTGACGTTTTTGAGCCTCTGTACTTGTGTGTCTCCTTCTATGACATAAGTTGTGGTAACTTGGCCTGTGGTCAGTGGCTTTAACTGTGGTCAAGTCGACAACAAAACCTTATTCAGCAGCGGGAGCGAGATATAAATGTCACCTTTTTGGGACATTGACATGCTTAGCTCAGGGTCTTCAGGTACAAATAAACTCGTCAAAACCATTATGATACATCAGGATATTATTTATAAGTGTGCCTCTTTTTTTCTCTCCAATGCTAATATGATATTTATGTGAATGTTGTGTATATAATTGCATACACAAGTTCATTTTTCTAGGTGTACAATAAATACTTGAAGAAACAGCCTCCTTCTATATTATTTATCAAACCACTGATACGAAACTCTAACCTCTTTAGCCTGGTAGAGATCAGTAATAATGGTTGTATTCTGGCTATAAAACTGAGTCCGGTTTGTAACAGGCCTGTAATTAATCCTTCCTTACTATTACATACAAATGTACTTTCAGTGATAAATGGTTTCAGTTGTTTGACTGAATTAATCATCAATATATTTAAGATTGTTGAATATAAAGAATTGAAGAATGTGAAAAAGTAGTGTTACACAGGTGAAGGTCATGGTTGTAGCCGATATCATTGGGGTTAAATGTTACCGCTTACTTTCGGCTTTAGGATTCGTCTTAATATTAGAGCAGCATGATAAAATTGGTTGATTTTTTTGTTATTTTGTTTCGCCAAATAAATGACAAAGGGATATTTGATACATATATTTTCTTTCTCTCATGGACAATTTATCGCTCAAAATATGGTTTTAGTTGGGTTTCAAGGTTGTATCGAAAGTCAATATAAAGGTCAAGGTTATATTAGGGCAATCCAAAGGTCAAGGTTGTGTCTGGGCAATAGAAAGTTCAAGGTTATATCGTGAGGCAGGACAAAAGGTCAAGGCTTCAGTCATGTTTGTGCTTGACTTGCTGTATTTGGCGTACATGAGATGTAGGTGCTTGACTTGCTGTATGTAGCGTACATGAGATGTACGTGCTTGACTTGCTGTACTTGGCGTACATGAGATGTAGATGCTTGACTTGCTGTATGTAGCGTACATGAGATGTAAGTGCTTGACTTGCTGTATGTAGCGTACATGAGATGTAGATGCTTGACTTGCTGTATTGGGCGTACATGAGATGTAGATGCTTGACTTGCTGTATGTAGCGTACATGAGATGTACGTGCTTGACTTGCTGTATTGGGCGTACATGAGATGTAGTTGCTTGACCTGCTGTATTTGGCGTTCATGATATGTAGGTGCTTGACTTGGTATATTTGGCGTACATGTGCTGTAGGTGCTTGACTTGTTGTATTTGGCGTACATGGGATGTAGGTGCTTGACTTGGTGTATTTGGCGTACATGAGATGCAGGTGCTTGACTTGCTGGATTTGGCGTACATGTGATGTATGTGCTTGACTTGCTGTATGTAGCGTACATGAGATGTACGTGCTTGACTTGCTGTACTTGGCGTACATGAGATGCAGGTGCTTGACTTGCTGTACTTGGCGTACATGAGATGCAGGTGCTTGACTTGCTGTACTTGGCGTACATGAGATGTAGATGCTTGACTTGCTGTATGTAGCGTACATGAGATGTACGTGCTTGACTTGCTGTACTTGGCGTACATGAGATGTAGATGCTTGACTTGCTGTATGTAGCGTACATGAGATGTAAGTGCTTGACTTGCTGTATGTAGCGTACATGAGATGTACGTGCTTGACTTGCTGTATGTAGCGTACATGAGATGTACGTGCTTGACTTGCTGTATGTAGCGTACATGAGATGTAAGTGCTTGACTTGCTGTATGTAGCGTACATGAGATGTACGTGCTTGACTTGCTGTATGTAGCGTACATGAGATGTAGATGCTTGACTTGCTGTATGTAGCGTACATGAGATGTACGTGCTTGACTTGCTGTACTTGGCGTACATGAGATGAAGGAACTTGACTTGCTGTATTTGTCGTACATGAGATGTAGGGGCTTGACTTGCTGTATTGGGCGTACATGAGATGTAGGTGCTTGACTTGCTGTATTTGGCATACATGAGATGAAGGTGCATTGAGTAGACCAATTTTATTTCATTTGCACGAGAGATCAATGACCTTTTCTAAATATATTTCTGGTTATTGACATTGTCGACTTTGAAGCCTGCACACACTATTGTGTCTGTTCTTTGGGAAATTTGATATTCACAAATTTGGTTCAATTTTGATAAGAAATTTCTCATATTTCATGATTTGATTTGAAAGTTTAAATAATTTTAAGATTGTTTTATTTGGTGAATGATTGGTATACCTGGGTGTAGTTAGTATTTTGTGCTGTTTGACTGTAATACTTGATAACATTGA